AGCAAGATTCTCCTGCCAGAGATGACAACTCTTGTTTTGTTCCTGAGCAGGGGCTGATCAAAGCAGTATGAGCAGCAGGCACATGCTTGGGCTCTGCCTCTGCTCGGGTTCAGCGTCCTGTGAGCACTGAGACACCCAATGCATCTTTAATGAGGGGGTGGGAGCTCTTACCTATCTAGTGCATCTCTGCAAGTGGGAGAAGGAAGGGAGCATGGGGCTTTTCCCCCTTTGCAGCATCAGAGCTCGACCCCTTGCTGGCACTGCAGTGTCTTGCTCAAATCATAGCTCACAGACTTGTTTGGGTTGGAAGAACCTGAAAGTTCTTCTCATGCCATGGGCAAGGACACTTTCCACCAGCACAGGTTGTTCCAAGCCCCATCTAACCTGGCCGTGGACACTTCCAGGGATGGGGAAAGATCTCCCTGCATTTTCCAGCTTAGAGCCCGAGCTCCTCTGCACTGACTTTTTCAGTCAGAATGTTACATTCTAGAGAGCTTTGAGTGAACCACGTGAGCTTTGACCGATCCATTCAATGAGTAACATCTAATTTTATACTCAGCTGCTGTGGAGCTCTTGAGGAGTGTGAGAAAAGTTGTGCTGTGGATCAAAGGGCTGTTGTGAGGAGCTGGCAGAAGGCTCAGCCCAGGTCACAGCTGCTGCTCTCCTGCCTCAGCATCACTTGCTGTGGGGCAGTTGGTAAGGCCAGATGAGTAGGGATGGAGCAATGTCTGCCCAGTGTCCCATGTGTGACCTGGTGCTTCCCCAGCTCCCTGCTGCCTCTTCCTCCCACTACCTTAGGAAATCTGTATTCCTGAAATAAATGGATACATATCAAATATATATAGGAAGCAATGTTCTTATAGGAAACCCTTGAGGGTTGGACTAGATGACCTTTAAAGGTCCCTTCCAGCCCAAACTGTTCTATGATCTGGTTAAATCCAGATGCTGTTTCACCACAGGATATTTTTAGGCTTTTTTAAAGCTATGGTTATAAAGAAATAATGCCCCAAGTCTTCCTAATAATAGACTAAAGTCTGG